AATAAAATTAAAGACTCACATATACTGTTGTTGCAGAATTTACCAGGAGACTGAAAAATACACAGGAGTACCTGGAGATACAGGAAAAACCCATTTATTTCCAGATGTACTAATACCATGGCTCAGGGGAGCCTGTTTCCAAATCCTGAGCAAGCCAATATGGAGGAAGCTTTCTCTTTATACCCCTTGGTTTCTTTGTCCCCCAAATATGGATCAGACTTCCAGACCTTTTGCGGGCTCTGCAAAAAGCCCCGTGTGTTTGGATGGGGGATTTGAGACCACACCTTAAAGCCTGTGCTGATAACCCCTCTGGGGGTTGTGTATGGTTCATGGTTTATGGCCTCTGTAAAATGTGAGTATTTAGGTAAATAGGTCTTGCAAGTCCAGATAAGTAAGGAAGAGGCAGTGACTTGATTATAGGCTAACAGGAATGTGCATTAGGGATACTGGTTAACTAGGTAGAGTCAGGCTGCTAGCAACGCCCCCCCTCCCCCCCAAAAAAAGTCTTATTTTCCTCATCTCTGTGTCTGATAAATTTCATGCATATGGAAACCCTCTCCCACATATACTCAAGAGATAACCAGAATGTTATGTCTGCTTTACTTGTAATAGCAGAGAATTGGAAGGCACCTAAACGGATATCAGTAAGAGCCCTGATTAGTGCCCTGTGGTCTGTTCATGCAAAGGTACATATTACAGTACAGAAAAGGCCTAAATGGATAAATCTCAAATGACATAAAATGTGAAGAAAGTTTTGCATTGGTTGGAGTGATTTTGCAGGGAGTTGTGAGCCCTGTGAACAGTTTAAACTTTGCAATGATCGCAGTGGAGGGCTTGGGCAGAAGTGAGTCCCTGCTCTGGTTTAAACTGGGATGTGCCACTAACAGACTTACACTTGTGTGCCAGCCTTCTCACTGGCACGTGGGAATCAATGTGAGGGGAACAGGCTTGAGGCTAAGAGAGAAATTAGGAAATCATTGTAGTAACTTGGGTGAGCCATGGCAAGGGAAAGTAAAAACAAATTTAAAAAATATCGAGATACCGAGGAGGATAAACCCACAGAGTATTTATCCCATGCAAACAATGAGGAAACAACGGGTGATGCTTAAACTTCTGACTTGACCAACTGAATCCTCTTCATAATCCCAACTCCTAACATCTCTGTCAAGCAACAACCTTTATTTTTCCAGCTGACTTACTCTTTACCATCCAACCTCTCCCACCCATTGAGTTTACCACTTTTTCTTACTCACCACAATCCTATCCTTCCTTTTCTCCTTAGCCAACATTTGCAATATCACAACTTGTCAACCCTGTACCACTCCTAATGCAGCTAAATAAGACTGGAGAAAACTCAGTTTCATTTTAAATATACGCCCACATACCTCAAGTAAATTCTTAGTGTTGCCAGGCAATTGTATTATACTTCCTTAACCCTTACCTTTCCACTTTCATGAATAACTATTTCACCTCTTCTTCTAGTTCCTTAGATCACCCATACCTCCTTGCTCACTCTCACTCTCAGCTGATAAACTTTATGCCCCAATTTACTGAGAAAACGGAAGCAATCATAAAACACTTAGGGAGTACTTGTGATGTGCATGAAAGCCTGCTGTGCATTTTCACAAATTCCATATTATTTAATGTGTAGAAAGAAAATGATAGTAAGAGAGAATTAGGAAAAGCAGGATAGAAATTCCAGTTAACATGATAAACAAATACTAAGATAAATAGGCCGTGAATAGTTATCCTAATTAAAGAAATTAAATTGCAGCATGAAATTAAATAAATCCTTCTGAGACTTTTAGTAGTTTGCATATTCCATTGCTTTAATATACTTGAAGTGTTAATAAGATTGTGATTCCTGGGCGGGGGGGGGGAGATTGTGATCCCTTCTTCTTATTTCACAGTGAAAAGAAGCATCAGAAAGAACAAACTCCTGCCCTGCCACTGCGGCTCAGGGGCTGAGCGTCAACCTATGAATCAGGAGGTCACGGTTCAATTCCCGGTCAGGGCAAATGCCCAGGTTACAGACTCCATCCCAAGTAGGGGACGTGCAGGAGAATCAATTAATGATTCTCATCACTGATGTTTCTGTCTCCCTCTCCCTTCCTCTCTGAAATCAGTACAAATATCCTATATAATAAAGAGGTAATATGCAAATTGACTCTCATGCCCTTGCACAAGATAGCCGGCCCCATGTGGTCAAAGATGGCTGCCACAAGATGGCCGGCAGGGGAGGGCAGTTGTGGGGGACCAGGCCTGCAGTGGAGGGCAGTTGTGGGGAACCAGGCCTGCAGGGGAGGGCAGTTGGGGGGGGGGCAGGCTTATAGGGGAGGGCAGTTTGGGGCAACCAGGCCTGCAGGGGAGGGCAGTTGTGGGGGACCAGGCCTGCAGGGGAGGGCAGTTGTGGGTGATCAGGCCAGCAGGGGAGGGCAGTTGGTGGGGACCAGGCTTATAGGGGAGGGCAGTTTGGGGCAACCAGGCCTGCAGGGGAGGGCAGTTGTAGGGGACCAGGCCTGCAGGGGAGGGAAGTTGTGGGGGACCAGGCCTGCAGGGGAGGGCAGTTAGGGGCAACAAGGCCTGCAGGGGAGGGCAATTGGGGGTGACTGGGCCAGCAGGGTAGGGCAGTTGGGGGTGACTGGGCCAGCAGGGGAGGGAAGTTGGGGGCAACCAGGCAAACAGGGGAGGGCATTTAGGGGCGACCAGGCCTGCAGGGGAGGGCAGTTGGGGGCAATTGGGCCAGCAGGAGAGCAGTTAGGCGTCGATCAGGCTGGCAGGGGAGTGGTTAGGGGGTGATCAGGCTGGCAGGCAGAAGCAGTTAGGGGCAATCAGGCAGGCAGGCAGGCAGGCAGGCAGGCAGGCAAGCGGTTGGGAGCCAGCAGTCCCAGATTTAGGCAAACCGGCATTCAGACATCCCTCGAGGGGTCCCAGATTGGAGAGGGTGCAGGCTGGGCTGAGGGACACTCCCCACCCCAGTGCACAAATTTTGTGCACCGGGCCTCTAGTATTAAAGAAAGAACAAGCTGCCTTCGAAGTCCCTGACCGCCAGCCTCTGTGCTCACATCCTCTCGTTCTGTTGCTATGAACTCTTGCACTGAACCGTCCCTCGTGGACTGAATACTTTTTCTTTTCAGCTCCTCCCTTTCTTGTTTCTTTTCTGCACTTTCATTTTACTGCTGGAGCATCCCCTTCCCTCCAGTCTATAAGCAAGTCCTTTCTCGTATGTCAAAGATCATTGTTTGGATTTTCCATCCTCTACAGTAGTGGTTCTCAACCTTCCTAGTGCTGCGACCCTTTCATACAGTTCCTCATGTTGTGGTGACCCCCAACCATAAAATTATTTTCGTTGCTACTTCATCACTGTAATTTTGCTACTGTTAGGAATCGTCATGTAAATATCTGATATGCAGGATGTATTTTCATTGTTACAAATTGAACATAATGAAAGTACAGTGATTAATCACAAAAACAATATGTAATTATATATGTGTCTTCTAATGGTCTTAGGCGACCCCTGTGAAAGGGTCGTTCGACCCCCAAAGGGGTTGCGACCCACAGGTTGAGAACCGCTGACCTACAGGCTTTCCACTTCAAATTCAGCCTTTTGCAAATCAAATTCATCCAAGGGGTGGGAATGGATGGAGGGTCCGGAACGTCCGGGAAGGCTTTGCAAAGGTCAAGTGCGCGCTGTGTCCATCACGTGGGGTTGGACTTCGTAAAGCTAATTCATGCTTTTGCAAAGCAAACTTTTCTACTAAAATAATTTCAAAAGCTTTGTAACAAAAATAAATCATAAGCAAAGTTGTTAAAATGTTTTATTGCATGTATACTGGTATAGTAATAAACAGAAAATACTTTTTAACGTCAGAAATACTTATTTACTTACAATCTCCCTTATAATGGTTCTCCTGTCGCCGCTTGTGGCAATTTCATTTACATATTTATAAATTAGGATAATCTTCTGGAGTAATGGTCGCTACGGAATGATTAATAACATCTGAAACGTTCATGGTTTGAAGGATCTGCCAAATATTTCTCGCGCAGAACTTGACCTTTGAAAAAACTCCTTCAATGGGAGTCATCATTGGAGAATATGGTTGCAGGAATAGTAAGGAATGCCTGGTCTCACCAACGATCACCGTACTTCCTGGGTTTGTGGAGGCTTACATTGTCCAAAACCAACCACACATCCTCCAAATTATCTTCATCCAATTTCCACAGTAATCTGTGGAGAAATTCGCAAAAAAATATTTGAAGTAACTGAGGATTTTGCAAAAGGGTGAATTTGCTTTACAAAATGATGGATTTGAAGTGGAAAACCTATAAACACTAAGACACATTATCAAAGCAATGACAGATCAAAAAGATACAATGGAAAGCCAAAAGTAATACAAGGAAAGGCAGGGGGTGGGAATGGATGGAGGGTCCGGAAAGTGCGGGAAGGCTTTGCAAAGGTCAAGTGCGCGCTGTGTCCATCACGTGGGGTTGGACTTCCCAGCCCGACGGAGGCGGAGGCCCAGCGGCTGCGCCAAGCCGAGAGCAGACTCCGCCTCTTTCAAGCTACGAGGATTTCAGGACCGGGGCAAAGATGCCTGGGAAATGGAGTCCGAGCGCCGAGGAGACCCGGAGGCTTCTGGGAATTGCAGTCCAAAGCTGGCGTGTCTTCCGCGCAGACTCAGAAGTGTCCGTAGACGGAAACGTGAACAAGTGGCGCGACGCTGTCCTTCCCCCGGAAGTGTCCGATCGGAACCTGTCCCGTGGGAGAGGTGAGTCCGGGCTTGGGGATCCGGGTGACCGGCCCTTTGTCTCCTGCAAATACCCAGTCCCCGCCATGGTCCCTCCCGAACTCGGAGGGATCCCGAGGGAAGGGGGAACTGGGTTCGGCGTCCAGAGGGCATTCGCACCCGCCCCTTTGGAGGGGAGCATGTGGTTTCCATAGTTACCAGCGCGCTAGCGTCTCCGGAGGGACGAGGGCGTGGCCAGGAGAGGCGGGCCGTCCTGCAGTCGGCGGGTTCCGGGGGCTCCCGGGCGCGGAGTGGCCCGGCCGTGGGGAGACCGCGGGGGTGGCGCCTGCTCCGGGTCCGCGGCTTTCGCCCGCAGCCGGCCCCGGGCGCCCGCTTCCCGCAGGAGGAGTCGCCGCCCTCGCGTCGGAAGTTCTCGCAGTTACTGCGAGTGAGCGAGGCCCGGGGGTGGGGCTGCGCGGCGCCACGCCGACTCCGCCCCCTCCGTCCCGGGCGGTCGGTCCCTCGTCTCCCGACGTCGCTCTGCCCGTCGGTTTCTCCCAGACGCGGGCTTCGCGGGGTCGCGCGGGATGTGTATGAGCTCGAAGCTAGTGAGACGTTTAAAAGCGGCCGAGGACCCGGAGTGCGGATTGTTTCCCACGGGTGCGAAGTGAGGGACACCTACCGGCGGCCTTTCCGCAGGCGATGCCGGGGGTGCAGCCGCCGCTCGGCCGGGAGCTGGAGGGCGAGCCGGTCCCTCGGCCACCGCGCTGAGTGACCCGACGCCCCGGAAGCATCACCTCGTCCAGGGACCAGGCCGGGCCGGTCTCAGCCGCGCAGGTCTGACCCCTCCCATGTCCGTGCTCGGGTCCGACGCGCAGACTTTCCAAGGTTCTGTGAGCCGGGACCTGGTCTCTGGCTCGGGGTTGGCCCGAGGCTGGTCTTCCTCGCCCTTTCTGCGGTCTCGTCGCCGTCCTTCCATTCCTTCCTCCTCTCCATGACGATCTCATGACATGGGGTGGAAGTGTTTTTCCAAAGGATATGTCATTGTCATCTTAAATATAGAATTTTCAAAACACAAAGCATCGGAAACTTCCCTCATTTCCACTTTTATCCAGTAAGTGAACAACTGTGGAGCCCCTCCCACCGCTAGGAAATGGCGGCGACCCCGTGTCCACGGACGGGCATCTCTCCCCGCCTCAGGGTTCGGGTATTGGGCGCCTCCATCGCACAGCGTGTTTAGTACTGAAGCTTTCAACACTCGCAGCGTCTCATGTTATTTAAGTGTTTTACATCCACGTGTTTTATGTCATTTCTCTTCAACTATTTTCAAATTTCTTGCCAACTCAAACGCTTTTCTTCAATTCTTTATAGCCATACATCAGAACCCAGATTCCCAGGTGCACCTCATAGGAACCAGGTCCGCATCCCTGAGCCCCGGAGCCGGGCCCAGGAGTCTGTTCTGACAGGTTCCCACGTGACAATCAGGCCGCGAGCCCAGCTCTAAACGCAGGCTTCTCTGGGAACCACAGGGCTACTGCTCCTAGCCCAATGCTTTGGGGGTGTTAACATCCTACATAATAAAACCCTAATGTGCAAATCGACGGAACGGCAGAACCACTGGTCGCTATGGCTCTCACTGACTACCAGGGGGCAGCTCAGCCTGCAGGCCCCGACTGGAGGTGGGGGGCGAGCGAGGGCCCTGATTGCCCCACCGGACCCCCCACAGATTGGCCCTGATTGCCCCCCAGGCCTAGGGACCCTACCCGTGCACAAATTTCGTCCCCTCCATTCTTCAGAAGTTAGTTTTCAGTGGCTTTCCCTGACCATTGCTGACTCCTGTGCCCCCTCGCACCCCCAGGACCCCCTCTGCCACTGGACGTCAGTGAGGCCACGTCACTGGAGGGCAGGGACAGGGACTCTCTTCTCAAACGGCCCCAATAGCTGCAGGTGGTCCGTTGTCACCCAGTGAGAAGTACAGAGCATTTTCCTATGTGGAATTGGCCATTTAAAAGCAATTTCCCGAATCTCTTCTATTATTGTCTGTATAACTTAGAAATAATTTTTTTTAAATATATCTTTATTGATCTCAGAGAGGAAGGGAGAGGGAGAGAGAGGTAGAAACATCAATGATGAGAGAGAATCATTGATTGGCTGCCTCCTGCACACCCCCTACTGGGGATTGAGCCCGCAATCTGGGCATATGCCCTTGGCCGGAATCAAACCTGGGACCCTTCAGTCCGCAGGCTGACGCTCTATCCACTGAGCCAAGCTGGCTAGGGCACATAGAAATAATTTAATTGCATGTGGCATGTTAACATTCAGTCTTGTGTTGTATTTATATTTAAATGCTTCTCATTTAAATTACCTTGGTGGTGGTGTGTGTTTTTTATGAGTTTACTTGAGGCAAACTTATGGCATATCCCAGGAGCAGGATTTCAAATGCTCCCTAAATGATCTTGCTTATAAGTTTGGATGTTAAACTGCGTTGAGGTAGGAATTATGTAACAGTTGTATTCCCAACGCAGGCGTTTCAGTATTTTCACAGAGTAAACACCCAGTACCTGTTTGTATAATAGAAAATGACTAGTTCCATAATGTGGTCTTTCTAGACAATAATAGTAACTCTTTTTTACTCTCCAGGAGAGCTCTTGAAACTAAAAGACCCTTCACAAGGCAGAAGTGGGTTTTGTGATCATTCATTCTATCCCAAGATGATGACAGAATCCAAGAAAGCTGCAGCTCAGAATCCTCAGGAGGATGAAGGGCCCCTGAGAGTGAAGGTGGAGGAGGAAGATTTTGTCTGGGGGCAGGACGCTGGCTCGGGGAGAAGTGATTTTCTCAAGCAGGAGCTGTGCCGGCAGCTGTTCAGGCATTTCAGCTACCGCGACGCACCTGGGCCCCGCCAGGCACTGCACCGGCTCCGTGAGCTCTGCGGGCTGTGGCTGCAGCCGGACACGCACAGCAAGGAGCAGATGCTGGAGCTGCTGGTGCTGGAGCAGCTTCTGAGCATCCTGCCCGCGGAGCTGCAGGCCCTGGTGCGAGAGCAGTGCCCGCGGAGCGGGGAGGAGGTGGTGACAGTGCTGGAAGACGAGAGAGGCAGCGGTGAAACAGCGCTCCAGGTACAGAGACGATGGGCGAGCTAAGGCCTCCAGAACGGATGGCGTCCCACAGTGGGAGAGCTGAGCTCCTAGTTCAGGATGCATTTATGTCTCCTTTGCTCTCTGTTTGGTATATGTCATATCTCACCGCTGAGTCAGACTTGATTCTTCCTCCCCCAGTTTTGTGTTCCTACATGAGGTTTTCTTTGTTTGGGGAGATGTTTAATTCTAACAGGGACTCTCTCCTAAGTCCAGATGTACTTTGTTCTTCTCAGGTCCCAGTCCCTGGACATGGACAGGAAATATTCAGGAGAAAGGCTCCATCTCCTGGACCAGCATGTACTGACCAGCTCCAGCCAGTGGACACCAAGGACCTTCAGGCTTCTTCAGAACCCTGTCTCCCACTGAACTTCGGTAAAGTTGTGTCCGTAGACGGGGGGACAGGGGCTCTCCCTTCTTAGACTGTCCCATTAGCTGTAGGTGGTCCTTTTCTTTGCCAACCAGAAGTGGATGGATGGATGGATGGACGGACGGACGGATGCTTTCAGCTTTGCGTACGCACACTCCGGAGTCATTTATAACTTTACTTATCTCACGCATCTGCATCCTCATCTGCTTTCTTGGAAGATGGTGCCTCCCCTTTTTCCCCTAAGCCTAACCGTAGACGTGTATCCTAGATCCAGAGTCCCCCTGGGTCCCTCAGTCACACTCGGAGTTCTTTGTTCCTACTTTGTCTTCCCCTCCTGTTCTTGCTGGCGAAGCTCCTCCTCCCAGGCTTTTCTGTTTCATCCGCTCCTCCTGATGGGTGTCTCCTGTCTCTGCCAACCACTGCACACAGGCCCGGCTTGTACTGAGTTGTTCTTCTGTGTGGTTCATGCCTCTCTTTTGAAAGGCCATGTTTTTGGAATGGCCAAATGAGGTACCAATTTGTAACTATCTTGGGTGTATCTGAACAATTTATTTTCTTCCAGCTCAGCAAATCTCTTCTGTCATTATTGTCATTTTAGATCATGAGAGTGAAAACAACGTGTCTCTGTCAAGTCTGGACGTTCCTGAAAACACAGGCTCACAGAGAATTGTATCAGGACGACCGTCGACGTTTGCATCAGAGGAGTCTGCTGTGCCTTGGGACGTCTCCAAGGCTGCGGGCCAGACAGAGCCGCAGCAGGAAAACGAGCCTGGGGGGTCTCGGAGACCGTCGTCTGCTCAGGATGGAGGTTTTAGCAAAATCCTCACCCACAAAAATATACTTTCAGATGAAATAATAAGTCACAATGGATGTGACAGACGTGTAAACCTGAACCCAAATGAATTTACACACCACAGATCTTGTAAACACAGTACCTATGACCAAAGTCTCCAGTGGAATTCGGGTTTTATTATGCATCAAAGAATTTATGTTGGAGAAAAAACTCCCCAACGTGGAAAATCTCTCAAGCACTCAAACCTTATTAAACAGACAGCAGTTTTCAGCGGAGAGAAAACCCATCAATGTAGTGAGTGTGGGAAAGCTTTCAGGCACAGCTCAAAGCTTACCAGACACCAGAAAACCCACACTGGAGAGAGACCCTATGAGTGCAACGAGTGTGGCAAAGGCTTTGGGGGGAGATCAGATCTCATTAGACACCAGAGAGTCCACTCTGGGGAGAGACCCTTTGAATGCAAAGACTGTGGCAGAGCCTTCAGCCTGAACGCACACCTCGTCCTGCACCAGAGAATCCACACCAGAGAGAAGCCCTATGTGTGCAGTGAATGTGGGAAAACCTTCAGGGTGAGCTCACACCTCATTCGACACCTGAGAGTCCACACCGGAGAGAAACCCTATGCGTGCAGCGAGTGCGGGAGAGCCTTCAGTCAGAGCTCGCACCTCAGCCAACATCGGAGAATTCACAAGAGGGAAAGCCTGTTAATGTGAGGGACTTCAGTTCATAGGGAATGCTAAGGAAACAGCGAAATGTGGGAAACATTGAATACAAAGTAAATCCTGGGTGGGGTGAGTGGCTGACAGCAGCATCTCTTTCCTCCCTCTGGTCCTCTAGTGTGCGGTCCTGCCTGTGGTCTGACCTCTCTGCTTTCTGAAAGGCTAGGCTGCCAGACCAGACGAGCAGAGATGGGGGAGGCAAATCAGTAGGTTAGTCCATCGGTGGAGAGAGGACAAAAAAGGACCTTCTTACGAAATAACCCTGATCAGTGTGGGGGGACTCGAGGAGAGAGTCATCCTCAGCCCCGCGTCGTGGTTCTGCGCACCGAGGCCGCTCTGCAGCCGAGGACAGAGCTGGAGGGTTGTGTGGAAGGGGGCGAGGCAGTGGTGGCCCTCTGACAAGTAGGGTGTAATCTGCATCGAGGTCCTGCCAGGAAGTACACCCAAGGCAAGAGGCTGGAGTTAGAGATTCCAACAGGAAGGAGGGGTGTGGAAGGAAATGAGCCAAGAGGTGGGGTCAGAGGTGAGCAATGTGTTCAAGTGGGAGGGAACCTAGATCTGGAGGCGACAGCTGCAGTCCTGTAACGGGAACCTTCCTGCCACGTGTGCTGTGTGTTTGTGGACACCTTCCTGGGCTGAGTGGACAGAGACTGCAGTTCTGGGGGCCTCTCGACTGGCCACTGACAAGTGAGGAGGGCAGAGGGAGTCGGTACCAAAAACAAAGCTTCTGCAACTTTAAACCAGCACAGAAATGCATCTATTCTAAATTCCTTGCCCGTGTTCCCATTTATCCTGTAATACCCTGGTGAATAGTAGAGTGGTTATTACCCTTATTTCATTGAAGAAAATTTTGAGTTAAAAGGAGTTCAGTAACTTGTCAACAGTTACAAGGTTATGAGGTGAAAAGAAGGATTCAGCTGCTCATCTAGAGACACGGTTAAGCCATTACCCCAAGGCATCTGGCCCGCTGCAGAGAAGTTTTATAACTGTTTGCCTAAAGTAGGGGTCCTCAAACTTTTTAAACAGGGGGCCAGTTCACTGTCCCTCAGACTGTTGGAGGGCCGGACTATAGTTTAAAAAAAAGACTATGAACAAATTCAGCAACAGGCAGCGGCGGCAAAAACACCCAGCGGGCCGGATAAATGTTTTCGGCGGGCCGCATGTGGCCCGCGGGCCGTAGTTTGAGGACCCCTGGTCTAAAGGATCATTTCCATATGAGGGTTTGACTTTGGAAAAACTGCCATGTCCAGAGCACAAGACCTTCAAGCTTCTCTTGCTCATTCCCATGGCATCTTTTTGTTCCTGAATTCCTAATGAAACTGCCACAGCGTGCAGCCATGCGGGCAGTCTGGTGCCTCCTCAGAGTTGAGCCACCTGGAACCTCTCCCACTCTCATCACAGGCGTGAAGTTCATCTCCTCTGGATTCTCAGATGCTGGGCGAGGCCAGTGCTTTCGATAGAAGCTTTCCTGCATTCTTCACGCTGGCGGGGAGTTTCAGGGGAGAAACAAATTAGATTTTCTCACAGTTACTACAGTGACACAGTTCTCCCAACTTGGGTTCTCTCGTGTCCTGAAAGGCGGGAGTGCTGAATATAGGCTTTCCCACAGTGTAGTTCCTGTGTTTGCTAAGATTTGAATTCCAGGTGAGATTTTCCCAACATTTATCACCTGTTTGTTTGAGGCATCTGCACAGTTGCCTTCCTCGTCTGTCCCCAGTGAGTCATGTGCAGGTCTCACCTCAGAGGTGGTGACTGGGCTGTCACCACAGCCCTGGGTGCCCAGAGGGTCCTGAGCTTGGCTTGATGCTGTTGTCCCAGCCTGGAAATTCTTCATTCTATCTTTTTGTTGTTTCTATTAATGGTCACCCAAGGATATCTTTCCCCACAGGTTTTTAGAGAGTGGAAGGGAAGGCGGGGGAGGGGGGAGAAAGAGAGAGAGAGGCATCGAGAAGCATCCATGTGAGAGAAAAACATCAATTGGTTGCTTCCCGCACATGCCCGGACTGACTGGACTGGAGATTGAACCTGCAACCCAGGTACATGCCCTTGACTGGGACTCAAACCTGAGACCGATGCTCCGGCTGACTCTGTGACCACTGAGAAGCACCAGCTAGGACTCCTGATTTTATCTTTAAACTTGTGCTTTGTGAGTGAATTAAATAGGAGAATGGGCCATGTACCTGAGCTGAGAACATATCTGTGTTTCTTTGCCCCCCTGTTGTATCGAGCATTTGTGTTCCCCATGAGCACAGATTTCAGTGGGCCCATGAGTCTTGGGAGTTCACTGAGGCTCAGAATATGAAGGGGAGCAGAGGAGGCCACCCCAAAAGGGGCCACTGTGGCATGTGAATTATTTTGAGCTGAAGGAAATTGAGACCCAGCAGACTCAGGAAAAAGTTTAACCTCTCCCTTAACTATCCAAAATTTTTATTGTGGGCCTGTCCTAGAAAGAGAGCTATGAAGAGAGTTAACTTTTACCTGAGTGACCTTTAGGTAGGACAGGGCAACCCTCAGAACCAAACATCTGCCCTTATCTTCCTGTGAATCACCTTCCCCCGGAGCACCAGGCCCCATCCGGCCTCCCATTCCTCAGCTCAGGATGACAGACAAGCCTCGACTGCCTTTGGGTCTTATCTTTTTTGGTGCTTTTGTATGTACAAAATTAAAATTGTTTTTCTCCTGTCAATCTGTCTTCTGTGAATTTGATTATTAGGCTAAAGAACCCAGAAGGGAAGAAGGAAATTTTCCCACTTCTACACACACACGGTAAGCGTGTTATGTCTGCATCTGAGTCACTTGTGGGCCGATAGCCAGGTGAGACTGTACTCTCTGCTGCAACCAGGACTTGCTTCTAAGTCAGAAGGTTGGCAAATGGAAGCATCTAAGAAACAGGAACAACCAAGGAACCCTACAATATTCTTTCTTATTTGTGTTACTTCCCTGTATTAGGCAACCACTTACTGAAAATGACAACACAGAAGGAAAGGGAAGGAGAGCAGCCCCCTATCCCCTTTCCTGTCAGTCTTTGCCCATCAGGTAGAATGTGTGTCTGTCAAGAGTGAGGGTTCACCCTAGCCTGTTTGGCTCAGTAGATAGAGCGTCAGCCTGCGGAGCACATGCCTTGGTTGCAGGCTCGGTCCCCAGTGGGGGAGGGGGGGGGGCATGCAGGAGGCAGCCAATCAATGATTCTCGTCATTGAAATTTCTATCTTTCCTCCCTTCCTCTCAAATAAAAATATATATTTTTTAAAAAGAGCCAGTTAGGGCTCAATTTCTACAGCATGTCCACTGAGTTTATGGGGCAAGCAAAAGTAGGTTTACAGTTCTAATACAAATAATACAATAATTAATACAAGAATAAACTTGCATATGCACAACTGTAAACCTACTTTTGCCTACCTCGGTTTGGGAGCCTCAAGATATAAATTGTCCATAATTTTGGTGTTTCCACATACAAGTTATATGTGTTTGTATTTGCATTTAAATTGGCATTGCAAAATATAAAGGTGAACAGGAAAACTCATAGTGATCATTTCAATTTTTCTTTACTTCAAATGACATTAAATAACAAAAACACGACGAATCAAGAGACAGTATATGGGGTGGGAGGATAAAAACGGTTTTATCGCCTAATACCTTTAACATGATGTTTTCCTGCTTTTTAAACAAGGGGACAAGCCTGCAAATTATGTCGCTTGCACTTGTCTATGTAGATGAAGTTCCTTAAATATTTGCTTCTTTGGAACAAATTTCTTATTTTCCGTACTACTTTTGTCTCCTGAAATAAGCAAACTGCAAAGATATACACAGAAGAGGCCTCAAGTCACTGAGCGCATGTCCGACCCGCCGCCCTCCCTGCGATTGGCAGCGTGGCAGCCGGAGGCACGTGGAGCGGCGGGGACCAGGGCCAATAGGGAGGTGAGGGGCAGGACCAAGCGGGTTCGCAGGTCCACTTCTGCCGGGTCCCAATTTAGGTGAGCACTTCTTGGGGACCGGTTTCATGAGTGCATTTTCTCCGGACCGAATATACATGAGCACTTCCCCCTGTACTAAATTCTTGGGTACACTTCCTCCGAGCCCAATATACGTGAGCACTCCCCCCCCCCCCCCCGGACTAAATTCTTGGGTTCACTTCTGCCGGACCCAGTTTACGTGAACACTTCCGCTAGACCGTATTCTTGGATGCACTTCCTCCGAACCCAATATACGTGAACACTTCCGCTGGTGCGGAATCTTGATTGCACTTCCGCCAGACCCAATGCACATGAACACTTCCGCCGGACCGGATTCTTGGGTGCACTTCCGCTGGACCAAGTTTACGTGAGCACTTCCGCCGGACCAGAATTTTTTTTTAAATATATTTTATTGATTTTTTTACAGAGAGGAAGGGAGAGAGATAGTCACGCCCCCTACTGGGGATGTGCCCAAAACCCAGGTACATACCCTTGACCGGAATCGAGCCTGGGACCTTTCAGTCCGCAGACCGACGCTCTATAGCCACTGAGCCAAAGTAGTTTTGGCCCGTCGGGCCGGATTTTTGTGTGCACTTCCGCCGGACCGGATTCTTGGATACACTTCCTCCGGACCGGATTTCTGTGTGCACTTCCGCCGGACCGAATTCGTTCGTGCACTTCCGCCGGACCGAATTCGTTCGTGCACTTCCGCCGGACCGGATTCTTGGTACACTTCCTCCGGACTGAGTTTACGTGAACACTTCCGCCGGACCGGATTCTTGGGTGCACTTCCGGCGGACCGGATTTCTGGATGCACTTCCTCCGGACCGAGTTTACGTGAACACTTCCGCCGGACAGCATTCTTGGGTGCACTTCCGCCGGACCGGATTATTGAGTGCACTTCCTCCGGACCGGATTCTTGGTACACTTCCTCCGGACTGAGTTTACGTGAACACTTTCGCCGGACCGGATTTTTGTGTGCACTTCCTCCGGACCGGATTCTTGATACACTTCCGCCGGACCGGATTCTTGAGTGCACTTCCTCCGGACCGAGTTTACGTGAACACTTCCGCCGGACAGCATTCTTGGGTGCACTTCCGCCGGACCGGATTCTTGGCTACACTTCCTCCGGACTGAGTTTTGTGAACACTTCCGCCGGACGGCATTCTTGGGTGCACTTCCGCCGGACCTAGTTTATGTAACACTTAGCCGGACCCTATTTACCTGAACACTTTCGTCGGACCAGATTCTTTGAATGTATTTCCTTCACACGGGGTTTATAAGAGCACTTCCTCGGGATTGGGATAGTCAGTGCAGTTTTTCCAGGTTAGGTTTAGGTTATGCTTTTGGGGGGCGGGTTTCAGGGGTTGCATTTCAGTTGGGCTGGTTGGCATTCGCAGTTCCTCCTCATTGGGTTCGCTGACGCACTTTCTCGCGGGGCTGGCGTGGGGAGGGGCTGGATAGTGTCCATCCCTCGCCTCAGTCGCACGGAAGAGCGGGGCGCCGTGTCCCGGGACTCCAGTTCGTCGGATGTGGGTGTCCCCTCCTTGTTCAGTCCGCGCTGTATGCGCCGCGCCAACTCCCGCACACTTTGCGGTCCGGTCCGTGTGGCTTACAGGACACAGACGGCCAAGTCTTCCTGAATCCGGGACTACTGGTGGTTCTGTTCGATGATGTGCCAGTTCGGTTTGCATTCCGGGTAAATGGGGAAGGTGTTATAGTCTGACTGGTTAACTCACTATGTTTTATTATTTGCAAGATATAAACTAGTGGAAGGCAACATTTAGAAGCGGCTTCATGTTGTTTATCTTGACTTATTCCTCTAGGGTCACACGAGAGCTGGGGCCCGTCCTCCGCGTGGAGCACTCTGTTGCCAAGTGGCCACGGTTGCGCGGTTTGTCCTTTGGTCTGCAGAGATAAGCTTTTAGATAAACTTTTTATCTATCACTCTTAGTATTTGGAGCTGAGCATGAACTCACTACCATCCGACTAGAAGGACACTATTTTCCCAATCTTTTTTTAGTAGTTAGAAATTGAGTTTATGTTCTGTGCTTTTTTGTAATAATGCATACATCTGCTTCTCATGCTGTTGGGGGTTTAGTTCTGTTTGCGATGCTCTTTGGATCCCATCTACAGGAGTCATTTGTTATTTGCTCATGGCTCTAAAAGACTAGTTCTTGCATACATGTGTATCTTTGTGTAATTTGCTTTAATTTTCTGCACTCAGACATATGTAAGGTAGCTAAAACATAAATTGAAGTTTAAAGTGCCCTGAAGCCTTATACAACCAGTAAACATGAGGATTTTTAACCAGTGTAGCAAGCTGGTTTGGTGAGGAAATTATTGCAGGGCCTGTCCCTGAAGGAGACCCAAGGAAAGCTCATCTCCTCTTTTTCTTTTGTTTTGTTTTGTTAATCCCCACTGGAGGATATTTTTCCATTGATTTTTGAGAGAGTAGAAGGGGAATATATAGAGAGAAACATTGATGTGAGAGACACACCGATTGGTTGCCTCCAGAATGTACCTACAACCCAGGTATGTGCCCTTGACCAGGAAGTGAACCCAAGACCCTTTGGTGAGTGGCCCAATGCTCTAATCACTGAGTACACCGACAGAGCAAGCTCATCTCCTTTTGACAACATTCCTTCTTGGCCTGGTCTTGGGTCTCTGCCCTTTACGGATAGCAGCCCAAGACCCTGGTGGCCTGTGATTGTGTCTTTCATGACACTCTCCAGTTTGAGTCCCTGACTCCTATGCCTAGGTAAGTTTTGACTCTGATGTGCCCTCATTCTTCAGTCATGCCCCTGGTTGTCTTTTCCTTTTTTCTTTTCTTTTAATGTCTCTAATTGACACAAAGCATACCACTTTTCCCTGTATTATCCCTACATGGTTACAAATTCTGCCCTTCACTCTTGGTCTTAAAATGAGATTCCTTCAGGGGACATATCCTTAAGTGGGGCAATTTCACTTTTTTTCAGAAACTACTAACCATTGAGGAAGTGGCCACATGTCCTACCCTAGAGTGTTGGGACTCTGCTCAGAGGACCCTCTAGGAAACACAGGCATAGGAATTCTGGGGTCAGGACAGATGGGAGTGTCAGGTCTGATGAAGGATCTGCTCTGGGAAGTCGTCAGTGAACCACAGTGTAGCTTCAGGCTTGACAGATTCCCAGTGTCACCTTTGCAAGAATAGTGATGTCCATCTGTCCCCATGAGGTACCCGCTGTTTTATGTTTCAAGCTTGGTCCTTACACTATCATTTCCCTCTTCCCATAGTTCTGTTCTTCATTCCTCTCCATTCAATGCCTGGCCTTCCAGATGAGCCTATTCTCAGGTCTTTATTCTATTCGTGGCTATGCTTGTTCTTCAGGTCACTCTTGTCCCTTCTCTGGAATCACACCACCCAGTCCTGTCATTTGCCATCTTCTAATTTTCTCTTCAAACATTGTCAAACCATTTTGTTGGTATATGTAAGCTGTGTATTTCTAGTATGTGTATCCATATCTATATCTATATCTATATCTATATATAATGTATATGTATAAAAGGTTAATATGCAGTGTCCCCTTGGGAGTTCGATCGGGAGAACCGGAGTTGAACTACTGTGTACCGGAGTTGGACTGCTGCTTGTGACGTACACTTACCTCCAGGGGGTGGCACGGAACATGGCAGGCGACCAGCTGCAGCAGCGTGGTGCTGAGGGAGCTCTGCAAGGAGTAGGCAGGCAGGTGGGG